ATCTGCAATCAAGATTAGAACGTGTGAGGCTCACTTTAATCATGTCCTGGTAACGTAACTTTGGTTTCCCCACGTGCCGCTTCCCTATACTCAGCTGACCGTATAAAAGTTGTTTCGGTATCTGCGTCGAATCCATACGGCTCACATGACCGAGCCATCTCAGGTGTCGCAGTAAAAGTATGCCGTCCACTGCATACATCCCACTTCGGCGCAACACTTCCGTGTCTGCAACTCTGGCGCCCCAACCGATCCGCAAAATTCGTCGCAGACACTGCTGATGGAACCGCTCGAGATATCGCACATCCGACGGTACATCGTCCACGTTTCACTGCCGTATAGAAGAACGGACAGTACCATGGATTTGTACACCATCAGCTTCGTGCCAATGGTAAGCTGATGGTTGTTCCACACTCGGTACTCAAGCTTCCCGAATGCCGCTGCTGCCTTCGACACGCGAATACGCAACTCAACGTGTAGCTGCTGATCAGTCGATATCACACTCCCAAGGTAGCAAAAGCGGGAGGTGGTTTCCAATACTTCAGCACCAATGCTGATTTGCGGCAATATTGAAGATTGCACCTCCGGTGAAGGCTGAAAGAGACAGACAGTTTTGCTTGTGTTGATGGTGAGCCCGAATTTGGCCGCTGTCGAAGCCAGAGCACTAGTCATGTGCTGCAACTCATCCGCGCTGTGTGAAAACAACGCACAGTCGTCAGCAAACAGCAACATACGGATAGTTGTCTCACAGACTAGAGTTCTCGCACCGAAACGACGGATGTTCAGCAACCCACCATCAATACGGTGCTCCACACGAACACCGTAAGCACAAGCCGCATCAAAAGCACAAGACAACATTGCATGAAGATATATATTAAACAGGGCAGGAGCTAAGACACAGCCTTGCTTCACACCAGAGACAACTGCAAAGTCATCCGAGGTCGCTCCACTCAGCTGCACCCTCGCTCGCATACCACTGTGCAGACATTCAATTAAACTTACAAACTTACGCGGGCAACCAAACTTACCCAACACCAGCCACAATGCCTCGCGGTTCACCGTATCAAATGCCTTGGTGAAATCAACAAAAAGCGAGTACAATGGCTGGTGTCGTTCTCTGCACTTCTCCTGCAACTGACGAGCCGCAAACACCATATCTATAGTGCTGCGACCCGAACGGAATCCACACTGCTCTTCCGCCACGTTAGGTTCCACAATCTGACTCACGAGGCGATTGAGCAGGATTCGGGCAATCACCTTGCCCACACAACTCAGCAAGTTGATGCCACGATAATTCGTGCAACGTTGCTTGCTACCTTTTCTCCCTTTTACAGTGGTAGCACAAGGGCATCCTTCAGATCAGAAGGCACCTCATCCTCAATCCTACACGCGGTTGCACCAAGTGGTGCCCAGCTCCAGTCAACAACCGCGGGATCCCACCGTGTTTCAATACTACAGGGTGGGATCCCGTCATCACCTGGCACTTTTTGCCGTTTCGCAGCTGAGCAAGTGCTCTCTGCGTCTCATCCAGTCTCGGCGTATCCGCCAGATCCGCCATCACAGCGTCCTGCTTCAGGCAGTTCAATGTAGGCCAGTCGATCTCTGAACAGGTTGTTCAAGAGACAGTCAAAGTGTTTCCGCCAGACCTGCGTTATGTCTGCAGTCTGGGTGCAGGTAGCGCCTGAACTACCATCGATCAGTGTCCTCAGCGGCTCCAATCTCGGTCCATACACCGCCTTCAAGGAGTCAAAGAATTCCAATAAGTTGGACTACGACGCTGGTCAGACTAACGCTTATAAGCGGCTGACATGTCGCCATATTTGAAGATAGGACAGATGACAGCCTACTTCCATTCGGAAGGTTATGTACCCTTGTCTAGTGAAATCGGAAACACCATCGGCAGCGGCCCAGTGGGACAATTTCACCAATCTACAAAGGCGGTACTCGCAAAGATCCGGCCAATTACCGACCGATAATTCTCCTATATACGATCTCCAAAGTGATGGAATGGATCGTCGCAGACACTTTAATGGACCACATGGAGGCACCTAGATTATCCACAAACGACTTCAGTGCCACGACTTCAGCTACCATGAATAACACCTATGTCACCCGTTGCAACGGTCACAAAATAGTCAAGGACATATGCAGTAGGGGAAGGAAGGCAGTGCCGGGGGCACTTACCGATTGGAAGGGTGTTCCATTTCCAGAGGTTCTTTATGCAGTATTCTTATACTGTTTCTGTGTATCCCTAAAGAAAAGCAACCTCAGAAACTTGAAACGGAACTTACCCACAGCAACGCGCACATGTATATGCCGCTTCCCCATGGTATGCAGCGCAGCTTTGATGAACCCACCTGAAGCAAACATCACAACGTATCCAATCGACAATCTCCGAGCTCCCACACGTGTCCTCTTCCTCCTCACACAAAGCGCAAACCGCGCTGTCCACTTCTTTTTCAGCAGTGCATCACTTTGTACGCCATGTGTATGTGCGGTGGCGCGCTGATGTCCTTCTTTTAAGGGTCAAAAAAGTCAACTCCCGTGATGTCATGCTGCCTTCCACCAACTCAACCGCACGGGTTAGCAAAGGCGACTTCCGTCTGCGACGCCTGCGGTCGTCGTAAGAAGAGTGGGAAACACCAGCCACCGTGGACACCAATGTGATCCCTTCGCTGACGTCGGTCTCCGGTGAATTCATGCTGTTACGCGTACCATTGCCTGCCGTCACGTGGGTAGCTGCAGCGGAGGATGACAGCTGCATTCCTTGGAACGTAGACAGGTTTTCCGAGGATTACGGTTGCAGTTGTTCCAACTGCGATGATCGCGCGTAAAGCTGCACATCACTGTGACTTGTGAGCAGCTCCCGCACGCATGCAAACACGCCCATGGTGCGCTGGAACTCATCGGTGCCCATGCTCAGAATCTGCGTTTCCAGAGCCGAAAACATATCCCGAGTGATGCGAATTTTCGCCGCGCGGTCAAGAACTGCATCACTCGGGCATCTCACCGGCGCCACCGTCAACGTCCCTTCCGTATCCTCCGAAAGCACAGGCGCAGATGTACTTATCGCTGGCAATACCCAACGGCAACCATCAAGCACATCCTCCTCCTGGTACGCGTGCAGGCTCGCCACGTGAATTATGTGCGCACATGGAATGCGCCACTGCCGATTAAATCTGCATCCACAAGCGCTGCCATTTCCGATAACAACACGTTGCATACCAATGCGCTCGTCGTCCACCAGCCAACAACCACCGCCTTGGTTTACGCTGCGAATACGAACCCGAACACTGTGCCGCGCGTACTGCCGCCGGGCGTAGGACGAGAGCCTGCGCAAAATCACGTCCCCAATGCTGACACCGTGCTGAACCTCGCATACACCAAGTTGATCTCTGGCAAGCAGTGTTTCCCTCTCCTCAATCATGCTACTGGCACGCTGCACTATCACCTGAAACAGGTGAAGTAGCGTTGACCGCTCACTCAAAGTTTGTTTCAGATGCTTATTCTCATTTTCAATGCGATTGGTGCTGTCGCATCCAAATAAAACTACATGGCCCATCAAATGCGCCGCCCAGCTAAGCCGCCATGGGATCCATGTACGACGGAGGTATTGGAAGCATTCTGCGCTCCGCAGGGATATCGCTTCCATAATCCGATGGTAATGCGCGCAGTCGTACGTGTACAACAACGACCGCAGCATGTTGAATAGAGCTCTCTTATCTTCCGCGTTACACAACGGAAGGTGTGAGCAACGCCGCCGCATGTCACGCATAATGTGTACCCGGCAGAAAACAATGTTCGCATTTGGGTACGCATTACGAAACGCATTCACTTGCGCGGTGCACTTGTCCATCACCAAAGTCCGAGCACCGGCAACCGCGGGGGCCAAATCCAACATACCTCTCACTGCCTCCTCGTAAGCAACCTCCGTCTCATTAGGCAACAGGGCATAAAAGAAACTCATACCGAGGCCGCTGACGTCCACAAACATGCAATGCCACAGGATGTAGCCTCCGTAATTGATCTGATACGTGGAGTCCGCCAAAATTACCTCGCCGTATTGGCCCACCAATTCAAGCATGCGCGAAGGTACGAAAAATAGGTAACGAATCTGATTACCCTCATGCATAATTTTCACCTCACCATTTCTTTGCAACAGTTGAGTCACCTCCTCCACCTCAGTGACACAGGCCTTACGATGACGCCGCCGCATGACATACAAATCCCTCCTTGTTAAACGAATGTCATACTGCTGCCGCACAAAGGCACGCATCTCCTGGGTCCGACGAAACGTTCTCATTAAGTTAAGCACCAGCCTCTCCTGATCTTCTGTTAGCCTCCGATTACACGCATACAGCCAAGGCTTCCCAACTTGAAAGCTGTGCGAATGCCACAGATACGCATTCCCAATTTCGTAACATTCGCCCTTATACGTCACAGAAAAACGCGCACGGCAATTGTAACATCGGTACCTATAGTAATCTTATCATGAGGCAATTGCAATGCACTTACCGCTTTCCAGTAACATTGCTGCGCCTCCCATGCACACATACAAACAAAATATACCGGTATGGGCATCCTTCCGGTAGCACCTGTCCAGTCTCCCTTTCGTACGCCTTCGCAGATTGCACGTTCCGACGAACAAACGATGTCGCCGTTTTAATCTGAAACACTTTCAGATCCTTCTTCACCGATGCGAAGTCCAGATAAGGACCCTTAAGCATACGTCGGAATGCAAGCGAGTCATCCACCATGGCTGCTACGCGTGAGGCGGGAAAATGATTAACCATCGTAACGCATTTAAACCCCTTAGTAAATTGATTACCAATTGAGGTCGTAGGATTTCAGCAAGCATACTCAATCATTAATAAACAACACTATGGGTTCAATGTCCCCAAATCTACCTCACATCACCTGCAACCCTGTGTACCGGAATAACACTGCCGAAGGAGCGTTATTTCCAAGTGGCGGATAGGACGCTCTCGTCTGCGAACAGTGTGCGCGAAATGGCACCCCTAGGCTTCTCGGTGAATTACCCTCCTGGTTGCAAGGAACTGTCAGTCTCTTTGAAACTTGATGAGCTTAGGAAAAGGTTAAATGTAAGCTGCTTTATCTTTTGTTTACGCTTTAGGACTTGAGCAACGGTTTCGACAAGTTGGCTGACTTGGACACCTTTTCTGAGGATACTCCCCATGATACCGAAGGCGCAGTTAACTCCCCACCTCATGAATCATTCAGAGGGCTTGCTTTGCTGCTGATATCACCTGAGTATGCGCACCATGCCGATACGGACATACAGCTGCGGGTTGGCGTTTGCTTATGCAAGTTGCTGAAATTATTTTGCCCCCGCAGTCCCTTCGAGGAGATGCTTGAGGAAAAAGAGCTTACAAAGGTACACGATATAATGTTTTCGTATTAAAAGAAAACCCTTATATTCCTTTTGAATTGCATCCAACGACTTTCTTCGCTAAAATCCAAAGGGGATGTTGCCTACCCCAAACTTCACGCCATACTTTACGTAAGTCAAATTAGTGATAATGCTTCCACTAGTTATGCTGTCAGATGGATCTGTTCTTGTGGTGTTCGTTAACGGATGATGAGGAAATTCTTTTTAAATGCATCCAGACAACTTTCTCCATAATCAAGTATGTTTCGATTAATTAACTCAATGGCCTAAGGAATTTACCAGCTTGGGCATGGACAGAGCCTTCTTTCGTCAGACAGATGCTGCTTGATATGGTTGTCAACGTCATAGTCCATTCCGAGAACCTGTTATCTCGTGATATCGTTACCTATCTCTTGGAGTTTTTGATTGAACCCGCTAAGAGTGCACAACCAGAACAGCATGCTTTCGCACGGGATATTATTTTGCGGTCATCTAGGCATTTGGAATACTTAATTCAAATGGTTCGTTCACCATTATGCTGATTACACATTAGTTGCTTCAAAGTTCTTTGATTTCTGGATCGGAACAGCCACGCGACCCATCGGCTGAGCTTTGTCATACCGACTCTCCCTGTGACGCTCTCACTAATCCTGCTACTTCTAATGACACTCCAGAGGATCCCTCCTCTCATGGTTTCGGGGAACACGCGTTTCTTATTATTTACGCACTACACAAGATTCAGCATAGTTTAATCGCCCCTGTACTGCCGACTGTGGAGTTAAGGCTAAAGTCCCCATCTGCTCGTGATCGAAAGCGAGCTTTTAGACTGCTTGCACGTTTATTCTCTGAGCAGGTATGTTTATATCGTTATCACAAACTGTTAGAGAATCTTACTACACGAACAAAATCCAAGTCTCTGGAATGCTCTACTCGGTCGTTTTAACGATATTGACAAAGAAGTTCGGAAATTATGTATTCTCATGGTACCCCAAATGATTAAACAAAATCCGGACTTACCCCGACATGATCTAATACAATGCGTTCGACAGCGTGCTTACGATTTGGAACAAGGTACGTCGTGAACACGTTGCTTCGAAATGTACACAAATCGTTGTAATTGTAGCAATTTCTTTTATACTTGCCTATAGGTTTTACCTTTCATTCTTGATGACAAACATGGCTTCTATTCCCGAACTTTCCTCGTATTTTGAAGAAAGCGCCGTGGCTAAAGGAAGGAAAAGAAATCAGCAGTACGCCGGTACGCAGTACCGACGCTTCGCTGCCGCGCAACTACTACCGGTTGCACGTGGGCTTAGCAGACTGCGAGAGTCGCCCTGACCCTCCGCAGGCCCGAACCCGCGCCGCAACATTACGAGACAAGCTGGTTACCTCTGGGCTGCGGGCCGGTTGTGGCTAAGAGATGATAAGACAGCCGCGTTAGGCTCTAGGGTAATCTGTCGGATCTTTCTGACAACAGGTGTCTTTCCTCGGGGTTGTCCAATTTTCCCATTATTGTTCAATTTCGTCGTGGGCTCCAACTTGAAGTGTTCCCTGATGAAAGACTATTTGATCTTGTTTAAGCGGACCATATCGTCCTGTTGTCTAACGCCATTGGGGCGGTGCAATCTACCCTGATTATCCTCTAGAACGATTACATTATTTGGTATGCACTACGCACATTCAAATGGCAGTGTTGTGACGGTCCTCCGCAGTGGTTCGGTCACGTCTTCCGCATATC